TCACCCCTCCCCACAGACTTCGATGGCCATCAGTCTGGAGTCCCTGGCCAGTTCTTTTGTGTTAGTCAATTACCCAAGGCAAGACCAACCTGCCCATTCAACATCCCTCCCACACAGTGGGGCAGGGGGGAAGGAAAAAATTCCCTGCTCAGTTCCTTTTTTTTTCGTTAAAACAAGCAAACCTGTGACAGTAATATTCCAGGTCACATTCCAGGAAGCAGGGCTTTTAGCATGCGTGACAGTTTCTCAGCAGGCAACCATTGTAAACAACTACCCCTCTGGTTAGTTTGGGTCAGCTGGACCACTCGGGTCCCCTCCCAGGATCTTGCCCTTGACTGGGGAAGGAATGTTACAGTACTGATGTTGTGCTCAGCAGTAGCCAAAATACTGGTGTGTTCTCAACACCTTTCTAGCTACCAATGCAAAGCACAGCACTGTGAGGTCTACTATGGGGAAATGAACTCCATCTCAACCAGACCCAGTACAATGCCTCATTACCTAAGGCTCTTAACATAGTCTTCAGCAGCCCATTATACCTCTCAATCTTCCCAGAGGCTTGTGGGTGATCAGGAATGTGATATATCCACTCAGTGCCATGTTTCTTTGCCCAAGAGTTGATGAGGTTATTTCAAAAGTGAGCCCCATTGTCTGATTCAATTCTCTCTGGGGTACCACGTTGCCAAAAAATGTGCCCCTCAAGGCCTAAGATGGTGTTTCGAGCAGTGGCCTGGTTTGCAGGGGTATGTTTCCAGCCAGCCAGTCGTCGCCTCCACCATGGTGAGTATGTAGCTCTTGCCTTGGCGTGTTCATGGCAGTGGTCCAATGTAGTCAATTTGCCAGGCCTCACAATATTGGAAATCCAGCCACCTCCCTCTGCTGAAGGGGGATTTTACTCACATGGGCCTGCTTGACTGCAGCACGTTTCACATTTGTGAATAACCTGTGTGATGGCCTCCATGGTCGGTTCCACCCCTTGATCACGAGCCCATCTGTATGTCACATCTCCTCCTAGATGTCCTGATGTTTCATGGGCCCATCGGGCTATAAATTCCGCTCCCAATCTAAGTCTACCTGAGCTATTCCCATCTTGGCAGCCTTATCCACCTGCTCATTGTTCTGACGTTCTTCAGTGGTGCAACTTTTGGGCATGTGAGCATCTACATGACGCACCTTCAGCACCTTCTACCCATGCAGCGATGTCCTGCCACAATGCAGCAGCCCAGATGGGTTTACCCCTGAATTGCCAATTGGTCTTCTTCCATTGCTGGAACCACCCCCACAGGGCTTTAGCCACCACTCAGGAGTCAGTATAGAGATACAGTACAGGCCACTTTTCTCATTCAGCAATCTTTAGGGCCACTTGGATGGCTTTCACTTCTGCAAATTGGCTTGACTCGCCCTCTTCTTCAGCAACCTCAACGACTTGTTGTGTGGGACTCCACACAGCAGCTTTCCACCTCCAATGGTTTCCTACCACATGGCAGGATCCATCAGTAAATGAGCATAGCCTCTTTCATTTTCTGGTAACTCGTTATATGGTGGTGCTTCTTGGGCACAAGTCACCTTCTCAGGCAATGCTCCAAAATCTCTGCCTTCTGGCCAGTCCATAATCTCTTCCAGGATTCCTGGGTTTCCCCATTTGGGACCGTTGTGTAATCAATGCTACCCACTTACTCCATGTAGCATCAGTTGTGTCATGTGTTGAGGGGGTGTTCCCTTTGAACGCCCAGTGCACCATGGGCAATCGCGGTGCCAAGAGGAGACATACACCTGGTGGATGAGGGAAAGGCTGTGGATGTGGTCTATCTGGACTTCAGCAAAGCCTTTGACACTGTCTCCCATAATATACTCCTGGAAAAGCTGCAGCCCATGGCTTGGACAGGGGCACTCTGTGCTGGGTCAGGAACTGGCTGGAGGGCCGGGCCCAGAGAGTGCTGGTGAACGGGGCTGCATCCAGCTGGCAACCGGTCACCAGTGGTGTTCCCCAGGGATCAGTGCTGGGCCCAGTCCTGTTTAACATCTTTATCGATGATTTAGATGAGGGGATTGAGTCCATCATTAGCAAATTTGCAGATGACACCAAGTTGGGAGGGAGTGTCGACCTGCCGGAAGGCAGGAGGGCTCTGCAGAGGGATCTGGATAGACTGGAGAGATGGGCTGACTCCAATGGGATGAAGTTCAACAAGGCCAAGTGCCGGGTCCTGCACTTTGGCCACAACAACCC